AAAAAAAAAAAAAACCAATTAACCAAATAAACAAAAACTGCACCCCCCCCCCCCCCAAAAAAAAATATCAAAAATACAAACCTAAATTACAATTTAATAATAATGGAATTGCTTTAGCTACAGTAAACATCCATCCAATATTTTCCATTGCATGATTAGAATAATATTCTAATAAAAATCCAACTATGGCAGTATCTTTATGAGCTTTTCCTAATAATAATAATAATAAAATTAATCATTATTATTGTTAGAAACATATGATCTATTTAATAATTATAAATTATAATAATACATCTTCTAAAGTAAATAAATACCTTTAGTATAATTAATTGCTAATTCCAAATCAGTGATATTTCTCTGTTTTGGCCATCTATATAAACGTGGTGTATGCAAATAGTATTTATTATTTTTTAAGGCTGGCTTATTATAATCCAAATCATTATCATTGAATAAGATTTTCTTGATCAAAGAATTATTATGACCTCTAATCAAATTAGCCATGATATCATGACGAATATCATTCAGCCTCCATAAACTTGGTGATTTTTTGAAACATCTATAAGCAAGTTTTTCAGTATTATAGAATATATCTTCAAATCTTTGATGATTCTTTGGGCCAATGCATAGATTTCTATGAGTATAAAGAAACTCAAGTGCTTCGCAAGCATCTTTTATTGTGTTTGGATTGTTTGGATAATAAATAAGATGCTGACTAGTATTGGTCGGTGAGTTGAGTGAACATAACGAGATTTTCAAAGAAAATTTATTTTTGCCAATTGAAATTGATTCCATGTCAAATCCTCCAAGTGATGTCCAAATATATTTCAATACTCTTTTTTTTGTTTCCTTTGCTTTTGTGATTTTTATTTGCCAAACCTGAATTGTCGTTCTTCCGATGATAAGTTGAGTTGTTCTCTCGTCATTTAGAAATACAGAAATTCTCTTGTATTTTTTCTTGTTATTCCAAGGTTCTGTATTGTTAATTATTAAAACACCTTTATTCTCTTTTATATTGCTAAAACTTTTATTAAAATTATAAATCATATGATAATCTTCATTGTCATTATTGTTGTTGATTTGAAGCTGCGTCATATCATCAAAATAAGTTTGTAACATTTCATTACTTTTCAAGATGTGAGATACATCAGGATGATCCAACAAGGAAAACAAATTACCATTGTCATCTAAAGAATAAATTCTGCCAAAACTAGAAGTGAAAAAATTTTTATCATTTGCGTTCGTTAAACACGTTAAACTCGAATCCTTATCAGTATCAAATGTTTGGTAAAAGTTATTGGTACCAAAAATATCCCAAATTATAATCGTAGTAATAAATTTTGTTTTATCTTTGCCATCTTCATAATTTTGTGCAACAACAAATAATTTAGTGTCATCGTCAATAAATGTTATAAACAAAATTCTGAAAATTTGTGGGAAAAGTTTTGTAGCAATTTCTAACCCATTTTCGGCCAAATATAAAGTGATAACATTTGAATTAGAACAATGTGCAATCATATTCTCATATTTTGATAAAGAGAATATTGATTCGTTTCCTAATAGATAATTGGACCAAAGTCTTGAATCGGTGGTGGTGGAGGTGGAGAAAGCAGCAGCAGTGTTTGATGACAAAAGTGCTGATGCTTTGGTGATTGGAACACGTTTTTGTAACGATATTTCTAGGTCTCCAGTATGCAAATTATAAACATCAACTTTTTGAGCTCGATAATCTTCCGAGAAAAAATAGTTCTTATCAACACAACTTTCCACATACTTTGTACAAGGTTCATCTTGAAATAATTTTTTAATATTGAGATGAACAGTTGGAGGAAATAAAAATTCTTTACGTGATTTGTAATCGACATCGTACAAGTTCATGATGCACTTTGGAATTTTAAACGATATTTCTAGGTCTCCAGTATGCAAATTATAAACATCAACTTTTTGAGCTCGATAATCTTCCGAGAAAAAATAGTTCTTATCAACACAACTTTCCACATACTTTGTACAAGGTTCATCTTGAAATAATTTTTTAATATTGAGATGAACAGTTGGAGGAAATAAAAATTCTTTACGTGATTTGTAATCGACATCGTACAAGTTCATGATGCACTTTGGAATTTTATATTGGAGTTGTGGATAAATAATTGATTTATATATCCCCGAGGAATTCATCAATATCAACTCTAATTCAAGATTTGAATCTGAGTCTTTATTTGGACGAGACGAATGTGGCGAAGCAACATTATCTAAAAATCTTACAATGCCACCGATATTGTCAATAGTTGTTTGGATTTGTTTTTTATAGACAGCAGAAAATACCCAAGTTCTCGGCCTAATCAAGTCTCCAAAATCATTTCCGTTACCTTTTTCATAATCATTTGTGACGGATGAAGAGTAGAATTCGGTGGTGGATGACTTCATGACTTCGTCTTCGAAACACGATAGAGCAATTAATACATCGTCATTACTATCGCCGAGTTTTACGTTATTTGAGACTGTTAAAGACCACCATAGGTTCTGTTGCAATTTTAATTCTTTTTGAATATTATTATTGATCGGAAAAGTCTTTGTAATATTTTCTGTCTTGTAATATTCCAACTCGAACGTATCTGTGATTGTGTGTAATAAATACAATTATATTAATGAAAATATCTAATGATTCTGAAATCTTAATCATCAATTTTTTTACCAGAATTAAATCTTGCAACGAA